GGGAACATAAAATAAAACATTTTTTTTAATACTCACCTGATCTGATCCCCCGACAAGCGCAGCGTCCCGGCTCTCACGCTGTCATTATATGCATACAAAGCGTGCGGGTTACTATTTAAACCGGCGCGCTGTGTGCAGCTTCTGAGAAGATACGCTGTTAGCGTAGCGGGGAAGCCTGCTGCGCATTTTGCATCACTCCCGCTACGCTTATAGCGTATCTTCTCAGAAGCTGCACACAGCGCGCCGGTTTAAATAGTAACCCGCACGCTTTGTATGCATATAATGACAGCGTGAGAGCCGGGACGCTGCGCTTGTCGGGGGATCAGATCAGGTGAGTATTAAAAAAAATGTTTTATTTTATGTTCCCTGGAACATAAAATAATTAAACATTTAAAATTTTATTTTGCAAAATGTCACCTTACCTTAGCCTGGTGGTCAGTGGGGCTCCCTGGACCCTGGTTGTGGGGCCGCAGCTGCTCCATCCCTCTGCCGCCTTTCTGTACACTCCCAGCCAGTGGTGTAGCGAGTGTGGGGTGGGGGGCGCCTGCCCGGGCGCAGGGGAGACCTGACCGTGCGGCCGTCACCGCAGCTCCCGGTCAGACCGCCCGCATCAGACCCGGCTCTCTAATTGCCTGCTGCTCGCTCCTGAAGTGGGTTCTCTGGAGGCCCCCTGCGGGCGGCCCTCTACAGTGCCTGTTTAGGTGGAAGGCCCCCCCCAGGCTGAGGCCCCGGCCGCACCGGCGGTAGTTCCGCCACTGGTCACATGCTCCCCCATACGCAAAAGTACCGGGTAACTCAGTTGCTCCTGGCAGCTTAACGGAGCAGCGTGGAAGAGGAGAGAATGTATAAGAGGAGAGAGTGTATAGTGCTGGGGATGGGGAAGGATTTATTATTTATTTATTAGTGGTATGTCTATAGCGCCAACAATCTACACAGCACTTTACATAGTGCTCATTCACATCAGTCCCTGCCCTCAAGGAGCTTACAGTCTAAGGTCCCTATCATGCATGCATACAGGGCCAATTTAGAAAGGAGCCAATTAATCTTCCATGTTTGGAGTGTGGGAGGAAGCCGGAGTACCCGGAGGATATCTACGCAAGCCCAGGGAGAACATGCAAACTCCTTGCAGATAGTGTCCGGACCAGGATTTGAACCGGGGACCCTCAGTACTAACCACTAAGCCACTGTGCTACCCAGAAGCTGTTGTTTTGCCGTGCATGTACAAAGCACAGGTTGGCATGAATCCTTTTACTGTCATGGGCATAAGTACTATGTCCGTGGTCCCGGTGGCTGCAGATGCTGGGGAATTGGTTTATACTCCCTCAGCCAGCTGTCTGCTTTGCTGTGGAAGTAATGCATGTCAGCTGGAAAAGCAAACGCTTTTTAACCTGCCTGCTTAAAGGGCGCCTGTGCTGAGAGAATATGGAGAATACTCCCTCTAAAAATGCAGCTCTGACAGCAGAAGTCATTGAACAGAAACTGCCAGTTAATGACCTGACAATCACATTGGCAAATTTGGCTGACTGTCCTTTAAATGTACCAACCTTCATCGTGACACTGCGGGGACCATCTCCATTATTCTGAATAGGGTGAACCCCAAAACAAGGCATCAGAAAACCTGGATAGCTGTAAAATGAATGGAAACAATCAGCATACTTGTACAACAAAGAATTCACCAATAAAACACAATCTGTATGAATTCACCGTGAGGGCATTGGAGGTGTGGTGGACCTGGTATAATTATGATTCTCACTGATCATTGTGACTTGGCCGGAGTTTTGTTAGGGTTAGAAGAGACCATATGTGATCATTAAAGGAGAACTATGGGGTTAGGGCTTTTCCCCATAGTTCTCCTTAGGGTAACGGGAGGACACAAACTAGCGTCCTCCCGTCACCCAAAGCTCAGTATACCACGAGCTACAGCTCGCGGTATAGTGAGACGCCGCAGCTGGAACGGATCCCGACATTACTGTCTGGATCCACCCAGCTGCGTGAGTGACAGCTGGCTCTGCCTATCTAGAGGCAGAGCCAGCTGTAACCGCCCACTCCACAGTCCATTCCGCCAGTCAGCGCTGGAGGATCGGACACGGGAGGGGGGGATCCCTGCAGGGAGCCGTCACGGCTCTCTGCAAGGATAGATCGAGAAGTGAGCGAGCGCCGGTATGTGTTCGCTCACTTCCCGATCTACTGAGCCGACCTGTGACAGTTTCATTGTCACAGGTCGGCTCAGATTATGAGGCTGAGTGAAAATAACTCACCTCATAATTCTTCTTTAATACAAGGGAGGCTTTATCAGTATTGAGGGGCCATCCATACTACAAGTCAATTGCCCTACACGTTATCCAGCAATAAGAAGCACAGCATGAGGTAGGTCCATTCATTCTGAATAGGCTGGCAGCAGACCTTAATGCTGAACTCCAGGCAGGGCATAAAAGACACAAATGAATGCAGCTCTCATGGGACTTGTAGTTCCACCACAGTTGGAGTGCTGAGATTGCTCACCCCTGACCTACAATATAGAGATATCTGCACATTGCCTGGGACTGCTCTCCTTGGAATCAAAGCACTGCCAGTACTCAGCTGTACCCTCCTCATACCTTTCTGAAAGTCGAATAAGCCTTTCAAACTCTCTGCTGTGTTCTGTAACAGAAACCAGAGCTCGGACTCCTTCCTGACAAAACACAAAGTGATAAAAGTGTCGTTATTGTCTATTTGACTCCCAACATCAAATCACAGCTTTGCTTACCTTCCTGGATCTCTCCAGCATGTCCTCTGTGTCCTGGAAAAGGAAATATCAGTTGTTAGTTTTAGTGGTTTTATAAATACACAAAAAGAGGCGCACAGCGGGGTCCTCTGCTCTTATGGTTTATTTGATCAATTGTTACCTTGGAACAAACATTTGTGGAAAGGCTAAATTGGAAGAATGAATGAATGAATGAATGACAACAGGGATCAGCGGAAAGGAAAAACATCCCAGGTCACGGCACAAGAGAGAAATGTAGACAATGACGCGGAGAGGGATTTGTTCTCCTTTTAACTTCCTGACCGGTGAATTGGTCGGGTTCACAGGCCACGCCATTGTTTCAATGTTATTCTGGACTCATACAGAGCTCCTCGATTCCCATCACCAGGATATACCTTGAATTGTTAACATCACAGCTCTTAGCTTGCTAAACTATACCTTAAATGATCTCTCCTCTGTTCAGCAATAATTCAATATTCAAGCACAACTTCAGGCACAACTTATTTTTTCCAGTATTCAACAAAGTGAGTAATATATCATATGTCCAGTAATTATAATTGTTGTCTGTATCCTGCTTGGAGATATATCTCCTCATTTCCTGAAATAGTGACATCAGGACGAGAAATGAGAGGGTACAGAGCTCGTCAGGACAAAAAATGAGAAGGTACGGGTGTTACCGATACAAGAAATGAGCGGTTACAGGTGACACCAGGACAAGAAATGAGAAGGTACAAGTGACACCACTACAAGAAATGAGCGGTTACAGGTGACACCAGGACAAGAATTTAGAGAGTACAGGTGACACTACTAAAAGAAATGAGAAGGTACAAGTGACACCAGGACAAGAAATGAGAGAGTACAGGTGACACCACTAAAAGAAATGAGAAAGTACAAGTGACACCAGGACAAGAAATGTGAGGGTACAGGTGACACCACTAAAAGAAATGAGAAGGTACAAGTGACACCAGGACAAGAATTTAGAGAGTACAGGTGACACCACTATAAGAAATGAGAGGGTACAGGTGACACCAGGACAAGAAATGAGGGAGTACAGGTGACACCACTATAAAGAAATGAGAGGGTACAGGTGACTCCACTACAAGAAATGAGAGAGTACAGGTGACACTACTAAAAGAAATGAGAGGGTACAAGGAATTAGAGAGTACAGGTGACACCAGGACAAGGAATTAGAGAGTACAGGTGACACCAGGACAAAGAATTTGAGAGTACAGGTGACACCAGGACAAAGAATTTGAGAGTACAGGTGACACCAGGACAAGAAATTAGAGAGTACAGGTGACACCAGGACAAGGAATTAGAGAGTACAGGTGACACCAGGACAAGGAATTAGAGAGTACAGGTGACACCAGGACAAGGAATTAGAGAGTACAGGTGACAGCAGGACAAGAAATTAGAGAATTAGAGTACAGGTGAAACCAGGACAAGGAATTAGAGAGTACAGGTGAAACCAGGACAAGGAATTAGAGAGTACAGGTGACACCGGGACAAGAAAGAGTACAGGTGACACCGGGACAAGAAATTAGAGAATACATGTGACACCAGGACAAGGAATTAGAGAATACAGGTGACACCAGGACAAGGAATTAGAGAATACAGGTGACACCAGGACAAGAAATTAGAGAGTACAGGTGACACCGGGACAAGAAATTAGAGAGTACAGGTGACAGCAGGACAAGGAATTAGAGAGTACAGGTGACAGCAGGACAAGGAATTAGAGAGTACAGGTGACACCAGGACAAGGAATTAGAGGGTACAGGTGACACCAGGACAAGGAATTAGAGAGTACAGGTGACACCAGGACAAGGAATTAGAGAGTACAGGTGACACCAGGACAAGGAATTAGAGAGTACAGGTGACAGCAGGACAAGGAATTAGAGAGTACAGGTGACACCAGGACAAGGAATTAGAGAGTACAGGTGACACCAGGACAAGGAATTAGAGAGTACAGGTGACACCAGGACAAGGAATTAGAGGGTACAGGTGACACCAGGATAAGGAATTAGAGAATACAGGTGACACCAGGACAAGGAATTAGAGAATACAGGTGACACTAGGACAAGAACACAGAAAGAGAGAGAAAAGAAACCCCCACAACGTAAATGAAATATCCGCTTTGACTGCTGCCACATTAGAGGACATTGTCATGTAAGAGATTCCCGGGGATCTGACCACACACCTTACAGTATAATAGCACAAAGCTATTTATAAACATAAATCAGAACTTCAAATGCAAAATGTTCTCAAAACATTTCACAAAAGTGTTTAAGGGTTTAATTACAGGAAATCTGTCTTTAGAGACACATGTTGGCTGCCATGACAGACCTCTGCTTCTGACCATGTCCATTGCCTGGCTGTTATATGGACTCCCTTGTAATCACTGACCTGGAAAAGTATGCCGATTAGGACCGCTGACTTTACTAGAACTTTCCAGATCTTCATACTGACTACGGCTATTGTTTTTGATTTCACATCGGTGACACAGCAGGAAGTGAAAGGAAACCTGCCAAAAGTGGGGGAATTCCCCTGGATTCACACCTTTGCATTTTACCCTCAGATTCATTTTCCATTAAGTAAATAGAGAAGCTTTAAAACACGTCACCAAGCATTCATGTGTGTTGTCACAGGTGCTCAATGTGTGTTGTAATGCACTGAATGTCAACACACGGCGTGCTTATGTGCGTCATGACGCATCAATGTGCATTATGATGCTGGTCGACGCGTGTCTTAAGGCATGCATTGGGGTGCGTTTTCATTGATTTCAATGGAAATGTGCTCAATGTGTGTTGTAATGCACTGAATGTCAACACACATCGATATGCATCATGGCGTGCTTATGTGCGTCATGACGCATCAATGTGCATTATGATGCTGGTCGACGCGTGTCTTAAGGCATGCATTGGGGTGCGTTTTCATTGATTTCAATGGAAAGCGCAATCAAGCAACAAAAGTGTGAATCCAGTCTTTGACAAATGTCCCCAGAACAGATGTCCCCAGTGGAAGATTTCCCCTGACTTACTGTTCTAGTGACGACTCTAAGGCTTTAAATTTCCCATGACTTTTAGACCCAGTGACAGTGGTCACCAGGACAAATACAGAGGTGAATCTAGCCATTGGGGACACAGACCGCAACAAAAACTTGACAGGTCTAATTTATTTGACTGATCACATATGACTATACAGTAATCTATAACAAACCTATCTCAGCTTGCTGTCACTGTCACAAAGTGTGTAGTGACAACATTCTAAGAATTGTCCACTAAGAAACTTCGAACCTGTCACTAAGCCCTGTAGTCATAAACCTTAACAACGTTTACCAGCAAGAACTTGTCTGCACTGAAGTAGACATCTTGGCGGCGCCATTTGCCTTAGCCGCTATGCATTTTAGTCTCCACAAAAATGTCCGCTACTTTGATCTTTGCACGTAATATTAAAGACAATATTTAAACACCGTATTGTCGGCGAACGGATGACCGTTTTCCTTATATTATAAATCTCCAAAACTGCCATGGTTACCTGTAGAAACTCATCAGCTGTCACATGACAGTGACAGTCTATAAAACGCGCAGCCATTCTTCCTATCGCTTTTCACAGGCACGGGGAGCGGGCTTTGGAGTAAAACCGCTCGTGGGGGGTGTGGCCTCCTGGCGGGAGGGATTTCCGCTGTACGCAGCTATATTGACAGGGGCGGAGACATTGTGTGCACGTGGTTGACAGCTGTCGAATCAGAAATGATTTCTAGTGGTTGAGGGTTTCCATTGTAATGTATAATCATATAAATCTTACTCACACCTTGTACAATCCGATTGTATTCTGTGTGATTGAATGACAGGTTTAAGGTTCATTCACTGATTCATAGCTCCAAACTGTGCCTCGATTCAGAGGGACTGCCCATTCTTTTTAAACTAAATCCCTCTGTCACTCTTCAGTTATCCTTTTTTAGGGTCTGACCTTAAAGTGGAACTCCAGGCACAAGCATCTTTTTCTTAAACACGAGTTCCAAGTCATCATGTGATAGTGTCTATAAATAAAATACATACACACATATACTATTATATTATCCAATATGCCTTATTCTTTCACTGATTTCACAAACAATAAAAGAAACCTGTTTAATACATTTGGCTCTCTGTCCAAGTAGCAGGTCTGGTCGAAATTTTTAAGGGCTTTCGAACACAATTAGCTGACTCAATGATGACATCATCAAATGCTCCAATTCAGAATTTTATATGACATACTGAGCCGGCCGCAATGCAGTCCGGAACGCACTGTGTCTGGTGTAAATGAGGCCTAAAGGCAACAAAACTCTCAGCACTAGAAATCGCATTCACTTCAATGGCCCCTGTTGACATGTCGCAAGCTGTACAACGCAGAACGCTGGAAAAAGCATATGAGCTTGAAAATGTTGAGCCTAGGTTTGAACGGAGCCTTATGTAAAAGTACAGCACTACTCTACTGAAGATAAAGCTACAAGGGCTTGGGGTGAAGATCGGTGAGTGGGAGATGATATACAGCCTGATCTCCATTCATATATCTTCCCTACAAGTAGACTGTGGCTGCTTCCTGTATAACATGACTCATGGGTTTCACACGTCTTTCACTCTTCTCCAGCCTCCAACTACCAGCTAAGAACACAAAACATTGTCCCCACGTCTACAAAACAATATTTCTTTATTTGTGAACAGCTTGTTGCAGTTTGGGAAATAGTTTGATGGCATTCTTTGTAGTTATTTCAATCACTTCTCCCAGGGAGATCCCTTTGGTTTTAGCGATGTATTCAGCAGCAAATGTGATATTTTTGGGCTCGTTTCTCACCTGTTAAAAATATGTAAAATTAATAGTAAACCTGAAATCAAATTTTATGTGCTTATTGTTAAATTCTTTGAATATGGTAATAATCTTTAGACTTATTCCTTCTACTGACAAAGTCACATCCTTAAAGCTAACAGAACTCCGCACAAAGGATTCTATTTCCGTCCTTCACCTGATAGCAAGGCTGAAGTCACTACGAAGGGCTTTCTGACCAATAGATTCTTAAAGCCTGAAGCCCGGTTCACACTGGGGCAATACGTGACCACGCGGCAATTCTTTTCTAATCAGATAGAAGGCTTGTTGCAATCCTTACCGGAGATCCCGTATTCGGGGAAGGGTGATTGGAATGACTGCGGATGGCACCGCCAGTTGCAAATAGTAAAAGAGAAACATCACTAGCACACCAAATTCCTTAAAGGATCATCAATCGTATATTTATTGGAGACTTATGTCAGATACACAAGATACACAAGTTTTCGGGGCCACGCAGGCGCTATGCTATGCCTGATGAAGGGACCCTGCGTGGCCCCGAAAGCGCTTGTGTATCTGACATGAGTCTCCAATAAAGCTACGATTGATTATCCTTTAAGGAATTATTTTCTAATGGCACCCCAGTCGCAGCAGGCAGATCGCGGCTGAACAAAACCAAGCATTGAAAAAAGGTAAATGTGTTGAATAAACACAATCTACATAAGTAAATGTTAAAAAGGTAAAACAGTCTCCAGTAAATTGCTGTGCAAGGCAAAAAAAAAAAACAACAACACAAGGGAATTACGGAATTACTGTGCGTTTATATATTGATCAACTGAAAAGACTATCAAAGATTCAGACAAAAAACAAAAATAAAATGGTAAATAAAAGAAAATACCTGTTTTTCCGGACCCAGAGCTGGAGAGTCTGTTTCCAGACACATGTTTTCCAGAGGAAGTTGTTTCACTAGTTTCTGCTTCTTAAGCAAGGAAAGACTGAATCACATATGATATCACATTCAAAGCTTTCTACCCCTTTACATTCCAAAACTCAGTTATCATGATCACAAAGCACTAAGGCACATCAGCATTATAAGCAGACATTTAAGCTGAACTCCAGGCAGGTAGAGAAAAATCATCAACTCTATATACCGGTATTTACTGTATAAAAATTGTATAATGGATTTTTTTTAAATGCAACTGGTCTATGTACCTTCATTTGTTCCAACATCAGCCTACTGTAAAACTCTGTACAGCACAACTGGGAGACAGAGTCAACACTAGGTGCTAATCTGGATCTGCTGAAATGCACATGTGATCCCTATGATAAAGTCTGTTGGGAGTGAGGTCCTGGGGGGGCGTGTAATGTCAGGTACAATAAATCTTAATACATGCAGAAAGTTGGAGTGTGGCTTCGTTCTTTGCAAAGACTTTGCTTTCAGGGCCCATTCACACCATAGTGCTGCATTAATCGCACGGTTCTGTGCGATTAACGCACACCACTGCGTAACGCACAGTTGCGGCGAGGTCTATGCGGTTAACACACACTACAGTGCAACGCACGCTCAGGTACATTGCAGCTGAAGATGTGCTTGGGGTGCCATTACATTGAATGGTAACACAACGCACCACCCGTACTATAAAGCACAGTAGGCGCTTTGCATTGTAGCGTGCCATTAATGCAACGTTATAGTGTGAATCCACCCCGAGTCATCAAATACTGACAAGGTAGATGATTACTGAAAGTGATAGCCGAGTGAGCACAGTAATGACTCATCAGAATTCTGCTGCTCCTTCACTGTCCAATCAGATTGTTGGGGATGTGTCCAGACCAAGCTGAACTGCCTAAAATAATGTAAAAATAAAGTGCCAATGGCGAGTCACACACTTAAGCTTTTCTACTAAAATCGGAGGTCACCTTGGTACACAATGTGAGCAATTATGTTGCGCTTGGTAGTGAGCAATGTTCTTACTGTGTCATCTTGCTATTTATATTCAAGTGAAAAATAAAAATAAAAAATTGATGGATAAATGAATAAATGAGTGAATAAAGATTCATAAATTAGTGTAAAATATGTATAATAAATAAATAAATTATTATAATTAGTAAACTGTGTCTTTGTTCTGTTCAATATTTCATTGAACAGAACAAAGACACAGTTTACTAATTATAATAATTTATTTATTTATTATACATATTTTACACTAATTTATGAATCTTTATTCACTCATTTATCCATCAATTTTTTATTTTTCACTTGAATATAAATAGCAAGATGACACAGTAAGAACATTGCTCACTACCAAGCGCAACATAATTGCTCACATTGATCACAGTTATACACATTGTTGCAGCTGGTGTTTTCACATAGTTTTTCCAGCGCAACTAAATTGGTTAAAGTTTTTTACCTTGGTACACAAATTTCCACTAGGTCCTGCAGTTAAGAGCCTGTAAATGAGTAGGCCATAAAATACCACTAGTGTTATTCTAACGATTCAATGACAGCTACAGGTCCAGGTCCTGGCTATGCTGGCTATCAAGTAGGGGTTCCTGGATTACAAGACCAGCTCAACAGAATTAGAAATCTTTTGGTAGATGAAGCAATCCACATTTATTTATTTCGCCTTTGTATTTAGATGCTTGCTTGGAGTTCAACTTCCTGTTCTCCCCTTCAGGCCTGTTTAATCTTTGCACAGACACTTGTGAGTGTTAGTTACTCTCTGCAGTCCCTGAAAGTCCCTAGCTGATGTTCTACTCCTTGTGATAAACTGATAGAGAAACTGAGCCCCATTTTTCTTTTACCTGCTCACTTCTGATGATGGACGGAGGGATGGAAAAGAAAAATCCAGCTTTCACGCCTTCCATTGCCACTGAGGGCTTCCCATCGAATGCATGAAGCAGAACCTTTTCAGCACCTACAAAAAATGAAAAATCCTTTACTGCACTTAATGAATAAATCTGATCTGAAGTCAGGAATATACAGTATATGACATCTAGTCCAGCTATTGTCGTGGACATTTTATTAGGATGTGTTTTTAGTATATTGCAATATTGTCATCATGTCTCTCAGTGTCGGGTTTCTGGGCCACGCTCGATTAGAGCGTGACCTGGATTAATTAGCACTGAGTGTAAACCATTGGAGTGGATATCTTCCTGTGGCGACGCGGCCGCCGTGCACAGAGGTCTCCGCTGGCAAATGGTCCATGTGCTATGCGCTGGGCTGTTGGCGGGGGGAGATTGATGTGCGTGGCGGAGCAGTGTGTTCTTAGCGAATATATGGATGCCGGCCAGGGCCCCTGCGCGATGCACGGATTTATTGGCTTGGCGTGTATGCACTTGCTTTGAGGACATAGTATTATTTAAGATACATATCTGCCTTTATGAAAGAAACGTGCGTTTGTATTTCTAATGCGTTTGATCAGCACGCTGGAAATAGTATGGCATTGTCCCTGCAGATAAGCTCGCATTCATGAGAATCATAGTAAATTTATTGGGCATTGCTCACTGAGCAGTGCTGGATAAGGTTTGCTCCAGTGGTAATTGGAGATTGTGTTTGTGGGTCTGGAAAGATGGCAGCTAGGAAAACATGCGGCTGTGCACACGGGTTTATGGGCTATGCACACTGCTTCTACTATGACACAGACATACACTCCCCTTTCTTTTGTATACATGTGTTTCGTTGGCTGGCTATGATATGTTGGTGTAATGAGGAAGTGATGTTGGTTGTTGACATCGCTTCCTGTTTGACATCACTAAAATAAATAGAGCTTCGGTGGAGGGGACACTCTTGGAACAGAAACTCCACCATGAAAGCACCACCTTTTCTTGACTCTGCACAAGTGTTGCCTTTCCTTGCACAAAAGAGCTTAATACACGTGCTTTTAAATTTGTTTGTGTTTGGCGCACTTTTAATGCGGCATGGATTTGTTCGTTTGGCCCAAGCCAATTTCCAAAACACTATGAATTCTATTCAACCAGAATATGTCCTGATATAATCCTCCAGTAATCCCCTGAACACCAGGACCAAGACTGGAAGGTATCCTCGTTGGGAAGGATTCCCCTTACATCCTGATGACAATCGCCACCACTCTCAACCAGGAGATTTCCACTCACGTGGGCCAAGAACAAAGAGAAAATCTCCCCGACGGGGAAGTAGATACAATGAAACATGCCAGAAGTTCTAACCATCTCCCACTCTATCCAAAACTCAAAAAATAAAGTTTTAACTGGTGTTCTACTTTTTAAGAGAACCTGTCATGAGTGGACTTACGCCAAAGTCTAGACATCCAGTTTTTATTATAATTTCAGCCGTAGCTGTGCAAGATTAAGATTTACCTCCATCAGTAGCTTCACAAACTGTGTCTAGGGATGACCCTTGGTGCTGAAGCTTGCCATACACGTATCAAATTTTGGCCCATTTTGCGTGCTAAATTGGCCAACATTCAATCCATAGGTGAGCCTGCAGGCACCACACGGTTTGCCAAAAGTTGATTTTATCAATCAAACAATGACTGCATCCAATCAGCTGTAGAGGCTAGCTGTCCGAATACAACAGCTGGCAGGGGAGATTCTGCTATTTATGCTGTTTGACGGGGATGGGGAAATTGAGACATTTTTTTGGTTCAGTCTGCGGAGCTGAATGAGAAAAATCATATTGTGTATGGAGGTGAAAGGCCGCCCTCCCCCTAATTTTTCTTTTTGCGTGAAAAGAAGAAAACAAATGAGTCTGGAAAGATGGCAGCTAGGAAAACATGCGGCTGTGCACACGGGTTTATGGGCTATGCACACTGCTTCTACTATGACACAGACATACACTCCCCTTTCTTTTGTATACATGTGTTTCGTTGGCTGGCTATGATATGTTGGTGTAATGAGGAAGTGATGTTGGTTGTTGACATCGCTTCCTGTTTGACATCACTTCCTGTTTGACATCACTAAAATAAATAGAGCTTCGGTGCAGGGGACACTCTTGGAACAGAAACTCCACCATGAAAGCACCACCTTTTCTTGACTCTGCACAAGTGTTGCCTTTCCTTGCACAAAAGAGCTTAATACACGTGCTTTTAAATTTGTTTGTGTTTGGCGCACTTTTAATGCGGCATGGATTTGTTCGTTTGGCCCAAGCCAATTTCCAAAACACTATGAATTCTATTGAACCAGAATATGTCCTGATATAATCCTCCAGTAATCCCCTGAACACCAGGACCAAGACTGGAAGGTATCCTCGTTGGGAAGGATTCCCCTTACATCCTGATGACAATCGCCACCACTCTCAACCAGGAGATTTCCACTCACGTGGGCCAAGAACAAAGAGAAAATCTCCCCGACGGGGAAGTAGATACAATGAAACATGCCAGAAGTTCTAACCATCTCCCACTCTATCCAAAACTCAAAAAATAAAGTTTTAACTGGTGTTCTACTTTTTAAGAGAACCTGTCATGAGTGGACTTACGCCAAAGTCTAGACATCCAGTTTTTATTATAATTTCAGCCGTAGCTGTGCAAGATTAAGATTTACCTCCATCAGTAGCTTCACAAACTGTGTCTAGGGATGACCCTTGGTGCTGAAGCTTGCCATACACGTATCAAATTTTGGCCCATTTTGCGTGCTAAATTGGCCAACATTCAATCCATAGGTGAGCCTGCAGGCACCACACGGTTTGCCAAAAGTTGATTTTATCAATCAAACAATGACTGCATCCAATCAGCTGTAGAGGCTAGCTGTCCGAATACAACAGCTGGCAGGGGAGATTCTGCTATTTATGCTGTTTGACGGGGATGGGGAAATTGAGACATTTTTTTGGTTCAGTCTGCGGAGCTGAATGAGAAAAATCATATTGTGTATGGAGGTGAAAGGCCGCCCTCCCCCTAATTTTTCTTTTTGCGTGAAAAGAAGAAAACAAATGCAGATAAAACATTTCAAAGAGAACTAAAGCCAAACCTTTTTGTTCGTCTTTAGTCCTCTTTTGGGTCACAGGAGGACATTTACTAATGTCCTCCTGTGACCCAAAACCAGCATCTAGCAGGCTACTGCCCACTATATGCTGACAGTGCAGAGCTGAGCTGGAGACGGAAAGATCCTGACAAAATTGTCAAGATCCACCCCGCTGCCTGATTGAAAGCTGGCTCTGCCTCTCTGGAGCCAGAGCAAGCTGTGCCCGCCCCCTCCACCTGTCTGTCCCTCCAATGAGCACTGGAGGAACAGAGAGGGAAGGGGAACACACTGCGAGGATTGGTGACTTATAGTCATGGCTTTCTGCAGGGGGAAGCCATGAGCTGCACGATCAGCGGTCTGTGATCGCTCAGCTCTCAACCTATAGAGCTAGCATGGGACACCTGCAGCATCACATGTCGGCTCTAAGTATTGAGTAGAATAAAATTGACTCTTCCCAATACGTCTCCTTTAAGAGCTGGTAAGCTGCGATTTGTTCTTGATTTTAGATACGCTTTAATTCTAGAGCTCTATGACGTGATACTGTTAAGCACACAGAAAAGTTATACAGTCCAGCAAATGGAAGAGCAGAAAATATTAGACTTTAGATGATCTCTCAGGCCCTATGGCTAAGAGCCATCTCAGACAGTAAAGCTAGCCATACACTGGTTGATTTTCATATGAATAATCTCATCAGTACAACTCATAATGCCATCAGAGACTTGTAGAACGTAATTCGAGATTCTGTTTGATTTCAACATTTGATTATGGAATAAACGCAGCATCTCAAATGAAAACCACATTCACTGAGACAATTTTGTTAATTGGAGAAAAATGATCCATCATTTTTTTTTGTCTCTAAGGTTGAAATCGATTTGACCCTATTAACCCATTAGATACATGCACTTTGTCCACTGGGGACATGAAGAAAAGGAAAGGTGTACAGTGAGACTTCTATAAGGAAGGTGAAGTGCATGCAGGAGCTTTGGCTGAGATGGATAATAGATATCCTTGTAGGTTTTCTTTGAACAAATCAATATAAAATGCATTGTACCTTGTTCCTTCAACAGATTTATAGTCGGCCTTCCTGCTGATCGGGAGTGAACATTTCTGGGAGTGAGGAAACAAATTGTAAAAAGATTACAGCATATCATGGAACAAGTCAACATATCAGTGGTTTTTTAATGGAACATGGCTGTCTTTTACATAGTTACATAGTATTTGAGGTTGAATAAAGACATTAGTCCATCAAGTCCAACCTATTAGGATCACTCCCGTACTGCAATGGAACCATGAAAGGGTGCATGCAATGAATGTAACTGCAATGACACGAATGTATAAAAAAGAATGCTACTATTAAATGTTCCTTCTGCCCATAGCAACTGATAAGAATCATTCTACACTTAGCGGAAAGTCAAAATAATCAGTGGACGCTAAATGGGTAATATAGGCAAGAAGAAAAATTACGCTGCAGCAGTTTTCCGATGTCCAAAATGTGTTTAAATTTATGGACACCAAACCACCCACAACTCTTCCTAGGTCAAGTGTTTGGGGGATGGAGGAGACAAACTGGGGAATTGTCCAGGGCCCCCTTGTCTCTAGGGCTCCAAAGGAGGCAGCAATATTTATATGTGCAATTCTCATATGGAGTCTCACCATTCTCTCTGTGTGAGTTATGAGCTGAAGGTGGGGAATGCTATAAAGGAAGATGATAGGAAACGGACAGCCAAAGCTGTGTTACAGAGCAGCCATGGTTAGGACAGATATGTAAATAACTCACTACATACATAAATGTCACATGTACTTACTAATCAGGGTATAGAAGCAAGCCGAGCAGAGAACTGCCGTACAGAAAAGCTTAGCCCACCAGTTGGCAAAAAAGGTAATATTTTGGTTGATATGGCAAATGGCAGTCTGTTTAGGTTTTTAGAATACAAGTAAAAAAAGACACCCCCTAAGTAACTACATCTATGAAACTATAAGTCCTAGTAAGTCAGGGTATCCTGGAACATGTAGCTCCACAACTGGAGAGCCATAGGGAGCAAAAGCTGTGCTAAGTTCTGATAAAATGTTTCCTTTGGCTGAAGCTCATGTACTACAATACATTACCTGCAGCATGTTTCCAGCTATGACAGCCACACAGAGTAAGCAGTTACATTTAGTGTTATAATCTGTGTATAAAAGAGCAGTGGTTCAGCAGGGGCGTATCTGCCGCGAGGCAAACAAGGCGTTTGCCGTGGGTGGCAGATTCCGGCGGGGCGGCAAATGTACCGGCCCGCGGACCAATTGCGGCAAAAAATTGGCAAGCGGCCCCCAAGAGAGAAAAAAATTTGTCGAGTGACGGAAAGGACGGAGCTCCAGTCAGGCGGCGAAGATAACAAGGAGGCCGTGTCAGGCCCAAGGATGAGGAGGCCGAGGCGGCCACATTGGGATTGCTGCCCAGGGGAGAAAGGGAACAAACTGACATTAGGTAGCATGTACATGAGACGCTATGTATTATTTGTAGAAAAGGGTTCAAAATAATGCTAAATAAGCAATATTCCAGACACACAAACCATATTTGAATGAATGAAAGTATAAAGGTCTTACAGGGGTAGTCCTAGGTGTTTGGCCAATTCTATCTGTCTGATGAACACCTGACGCTGCTCTTCCTTCTGGTCGTCTGTGCTGGCGATCCGGGGAGTGAAATCCAGGCCAACCTGAAAGCATGCACAACACAGCTAATTAACTGAATATGATTTGTAGCCATCTAGAGACAGCACAGTGGCTTAGTGGTTAGCACTGCTGCCTTGCAGCAATGGGGTCCTTAGTTCCATCCTGGCCAGGACACTATCTGCATGGAGTTTGTATGATTTCTCTGTGCTTGCATGGTTTCCTCCCACAGTCTAAAGACATGCGGGTAGGTTAACTGACTTCCATCTAAATTGGCCCTGCTGTGTGTGTAAGTATGCATGTGAGAGAGGGACCTTAGAAAGTAAGCTCCTTGAGGACAGCGACTGATATAAATGTAGCGTGTTGCATCAGTTGTTGGTGCTAAATAAATGCCTGTAATAAATTAAACTAGAAATGGCATGCCGTTTTTCCTAAAAGGTCATCCCTGTCCCAAATCCCTTTAACTGTCTTCAATTTATATTCTAGAATTGGCTCCTGCCAAGCTGCCTAGCTGCAGAAATGTAATATAGGCACCGGACTGGGGGAGGGATTTAGGAAAACATGTCCCACCCACTCAGTTACACTCACTATTGCAACTGCAGTGGATTAGAGAAGGGGGCGTGTCGGTGGCAGCACTGTTCTAACTCCAGGGGCTTCTGCAAACATTGGTCCCAGACACTCCCCTGCATTCCATAGGTAACAGATACATTTCACAACATAATTGGGCACCAAAAATAAAACTTTTTAAAAACGTCTTATTGAAAAAGAAAAAAAAAACTATTTCTATTGACTGTAATTGGTATAAGGCAGGTTTAAAAAAAGGGGGAAAAAAAATCACCCTTCCAAAAAATAGAATGCATGGGCATTGCTTTACTTCCATACCTGCAGCAAATCTACTCATGAAACAAGATGGTGTCTAATTTGGGGTGAGGATTGTATGAAGGGATTGTCACATTGCACAGCAAAAGCTCTCCAAATACACACAACCTAAAAATCTAATATTACATATTCTGTACCTCCCCAATAGCCACCAATTCATCCTTGTACAGTTCAATTAAAGGCAAAGCATCTTTTAAGTCCTGTAGAAGATAAAAATAATATACGGCATCAGAATTCATAAATCTTTACTTTTCAAGCATTTAAATGTTTTATGTATGAAAGCAATGGCTGGCAAAAGTATACAATCAAAACTAATATTTTGGTTTTAGATGGAGTCTGGACTGAGTCACCTTTTTTATTATTCAATCTCTTGTGGACTCCAGTGGTAGGATGCCCCTGACGCAGATCCCTAATTGATTCCCTCCCATGCTGGAGTCTCATCCCTTCTGTAACTATTCCTGGATTGGTTCCCACACATGCCGGAGTCTCATCCCTTCTGTAACTATTCCCGGATTGGTTCCCACACATGCCGGAGTCTCATCCCTTCTGTAATAGTTCCTTGATTGGTTCCCTCCCACACTGGAGTATCACCACTTCTGTAACTGTTCCCCGATTGGTTCCCTCCCACACTGGAGTATAACCACTTCTGTAACTATTCCCCGATTGGTTCCCTCCCACACTGGAGTCTCACCCCTTCTGCAACTGTTCCCCGATTGGTTCCCTCCCACACTGGAGTCTCAGCCCTTCTGTAATAGTTCCTTGATTGACTCCCTCCCATGCAGGAGTCTCGCTCCTTCTGTAACTGTTCCCCGATTGGTTCCCTCCCACACTGGAGTCTCACCCCTTCTGCAACTGTTCCCCGATTGGTTCCCTCCCACACTGGAGTCTCAGCCCTTCTGTAATAGTTCCTTGATTGATTCCTTCCCATGCTGGAGTCTCGCTCCTTCTGTAACTGTTCCCCGATTGGTTCCCTCCCACACTGGAGTCTCAGCCCGTCTGTAATAGTTCCTTGACTGATTCCCTCCCATGCTGGAGTCTCGCTCCTGCAACAGTTCCTTGATTGTTTCCCTACCGTGCTGGAATCTCAATCCTCTTGCAACAACAGGAGGTATACTTTCCTTTTCCTCTTGCTTCTCCAACACAAGAAATAAAAAAATCAATCTAACGGGAAGAATTGGACATCTTATTAGAAGGTCTGGGAAGTCAAGTACAAAGATCTTTCCCTTGGAGTCCCATGAGGTGTAAGAAAGTGTCATCTGATTTAATTACCTTCCATCTACCAGGAAATTATTTTTTCTAAAAGCGCTGAGGTGCTCCAACCTCACTATATTGTGTTGTAAAGTAGTCACTGCTCCAAGCTCACTCCCGTGATAGACTTTAACTTCAAAATGAATTAGTAAATTAAATGTGAGATTGTATTCCATCACAGAAGTGAGTTTGGAGCGGTGGCTACTTTACAACACACACAGGGACCCTGGGGAACAAAAGTAGCCACCCCCTAAAAGGAAGGACAGTGTCCGCACCAATTCAGAGATGATTTGAGGATCTACAGCTGAGTGATACACAAATAAGAAACATTTAATAAAGTACTTGAATGTCTTTTTAAGATTTAACTCCTGATTTTAGTGTCCCTCTAACTCTGCTTTCCTTGCATAAACTAATAAGGGGATCAAAGGATCCCTTTACTTGCTCACTACACATGCTGGTCGTATTGGAATATGCCCTCACCAAAGTCATCCTCCATCAAATCACCATTAGTGTGAATTTTCAGAGATTTGCTCATCGCTATTAGAGACATCATAAAGATGCGGCCATGGAGTAAAATGAATGTCCTTACAGAATTGAAGTTCTGAATATCTGTTTAGTGATAAAGGCTAAGTCACTGTACCTGGAGGGTGGCGCTGCGTGGCTGCTCCGAGGCGTCCGTTTGCACCGGGTGCACCCCTAAACATGGAAACACCAGTCCCGCATTCCTGTGTACAGTCAGTCACTGGATAAACAACATGACCAGCTTATAATTTTACATCTGTGCTACTAAACAAGATCACTGCTATGTACTAGTTGAATCGACAATGGAAACACAACATAACCACAAAGTAGCGTCAGGGTCTCAGCGGTTGGGCCGGGCACAGACAACACAACCTCTGATCAGACGGGCAACAAAGCCCAATAATCCTCTCACCCAGGCTTCCAGAACCTGACTGCACAGCCCTCTACTCACATACAGAACTTTATTTGCAGTGTGCAGCCAGGTTCAGGGGCTCCTGGGCAGAACACAGGGATGAATTCAAATAAACTGGAGCAGACAGAATCTAGAGCAGCTGCCCATGGCAACCAATCAGCTTCTCATTTTCAAAGCTTAACTGAACAAACTGAACAGAAAACCTGATTGGTTAGCATCAGAAAACGGTCTGCTCCAGTTTTTTTTTTTTTTTTATGAATTCCCCCCATTATTTTGGGACAGTTAAAGCGACACGCAGGCATCTTTGCACCTAAAGTATAGTTAACAGCCAACATCTGTTTTGTTTTTACTTTTGGGTAAACTAGGGAATGTTTCTATAACGGCTTAAATCGTATGTCAAAGGAAAAAAACAAAAAAGAACCACATGCAGTATATCTTTGCAATATATTCTCATGTCCCCATGTTTGATCCCTTTAAATAACCTACATGTACAGAAAAATACTTGTTGATCTGTCAGAAATGCACTTAGTTCTTAAAGTGGAACTAAAGCCAGAATTGTGTTTTCTTAGTTTTGAATAGAGTAAGGGAGGGTTATAACCCCGTCAGTTTTTTTTGCCATCTGTGTCCCATTGAGGAGATTTGCCTTCACTTCCTGCCCCCCATAGGCACAACTGGAAGTGAAAGGAATTTGTTGGTGGTCAGCAGGGTCACCGGAACTGGTGTGCCCATTGGAAGATTTCCCCTCTATTCCTGTTCTAGTAACAGCCCAAACCTTGGGATTTTCTTTTACTTTCACTCGTACTAAGGCCCCGTTCCCACTGCGTGATATGCAAATCGCGCGTTTGTCGCGCGATTTGCATATTGCGCGACATCGCGAGATTTGTTGCGCGATATCTCGTTCAAGCTTGCATTGAGCAAGCTTGAATCGCGGCTAAATCTGCTCCAAAAAGGGTCCTGCTGTAGCGACACACCACCCGCGACAGCAGGACCCTTTGCCCCATTGAAATGCATTGGAACGCGATATCGCGCGGTAATTTGCCGCGATATCGCGGGAATTACCGCGCGATAAATCGCTCAATGTGACGGGCTTAATAGTAATCACCAGGATGAATCAAGAGGGTGATTCTCCACGACAAAGTCACAGAAAGCATTAAAATACTGACAGGACTTCTACTCCCCCTCCACTCTATCCAAAACTAAAAACCAAGTTGTGGCTTCAGTTCTACTTTAAACCCTTTTGGGGGCGGACAACATACTGTCGTTTTGTAGACCAAGCCACAAGGAGCATGACATCAGTCTCGCCTAGACACGCTGGGCAGAAGACTGCACTAGGGCAAGTATAAAATCATACTTTTTTCATTACAGGTAATAACAAGCAGCGACTTTTACAGGGGTAGGGGCCCCCGGACGTAATAAGAGAACTGTGCAACTTCTGCTTTAAGGAGACCCTGTCACCACCGCAGACATTTTAGAGTGGCATTAAAGTCACAATCCCCCCCCCCCCCAATGCTGGTGTAAGGACTTAAATTAAATGATGCCTCTTGATCCGATCATCTTCTCATTTCCAGTAGTTTTCAAGAGTCTTTCCAGCGCTGGTGCCGGTCTCTGATCCAGCGCAGACTCCTCATGTCCCACGGTGTCTGTCCGACGTGCACACTCCGGGCTGCGTGCATTCACCTCCACTGTGTCTCTCCTCTTCTCCCCACCAGTGATCTCTACTGCGCATGCGCCTGGTCTCATCCTACTGCACAGCAGCTCGAGAAGCTGGATTTCACAGCCGGGGGCCAGAGACAGAGACAAGTTGTTACATATTTGGTAACTTTAAAAAAAAATGTTTTTGCATATATCTACTGCTTCCAGGAGTGTCGGAACTTACAGGCTCCTTGTGATCATGTCCCCCTCTCTGACATCACAGCTCTCTTGCACTGCGAGTTCAAATCTTTCACTTTCCCCCGGCATATTCTCATGTTCCTTGCTTCCTTATTCAATATTATGTTTAACTTTGTTCTTTCATCCTCAGTCAAAAACGTATTGCACTGCCCCTCACAAACTACACGTCATGCAGTCACAGCCTACACGGGGCTATGGAGTCCCCCCATATGACAGTGTTGGTGCTTGGTGAGTGGCCCACTATGGTCACATGCTCCTGTATAATGCAAAAAACTGGGCATCTTTAGTTAAGTAAAAGGGGAGTATGAGCTGCTGGGGAGGGGGCATGAAATGAAACCTGTGGCTCTGCCCTGCAGGGGTGAAACACAGGTTTACTAGAAATATTAGCTTTGGGTGGAGTTGGCCCTTAATAGATGCATATTACGCACAGATATTTTAGGCTTACCTTCTAGAAAGCTGAATTAATTTTTCAAATTCCGCTGAGTGCTCTGCCACCGCAACAAGAGCTTGGACACCAGCCTGAAATCCAGAAAAAGGTCCAAAATGTGAAACATGGTATTCATTTTTATCTCTTGCCACTGGCAGAAGCTGGCCCTGTGACTCAGGGCCAACAGCAGGGGCTCCTGTGATTGGCTGCACAGTGATGATGTAACCCTGATTGGTAGTAGTTCTCCGTGTACTGATGGTAACAGATTGGGGGTCACAGGTCTGGTAGCGCCGATTGAGTCACAGAATAAAACTGCAATACATATATGAATCAGCTGGGCATCAAGGAGGCACTGTGTGACACCAGATCACAATGAGAAAGCTCTAATCACAATGACCCAGATTCACTAAAGAAGCACATTCAATGTTTTCATTAGTAAATAAGGTGAAACAAGGTGAAAAAATACTTAAAAAACCCAACAAAACAGGAATTTTCCTTGCACAACTGATTGTAGTTAACACAGATTCACCCCATTCACTACGCTAAGTAAAAAGTCACTTTGCAAATGGGATAAATTTGCTGCGGACTTCAATCAAAAACTCTTTGTTTGGCTTAGTGAATTTTTATTTTGTTTCGCTTTATTCACTCTAAGATTAGTGAAAACTTGCTATGAAAGTAAATTGACTTCATAGTGTACTGGTGGGAAATTAGCTCACAGCCCCAGTGCACCAAGACAGGTTTACTAATCATGTTTTTCTGCACTAAGCCTATCTGATGTGATCATTTTGAACGAGGAAATAACTACTCAAAAAGGCTAATTTAGAAAACAGATGTCCTATATCTAAGACAGGTTTATAATTATCATAAATGAGATAATACTCACTGCCTTCGCTTCTTGCAAAATAATATCGATGTCCTGCAATGGAAAGAAACAATGAATGCACACACAAATTCCAGAGTTGGCATGTTACCTTTCCACTGTGGCCTAGTCAAAGTCCTGACCTGAATCCTATTGAGATGCTGTGGCATGACCTTAAAAAGGCGGTTCATGCTCGAAAACCTTCCAATGTGGCTGATTTACAACAATTCTGCCAAGATGAGTGGACCAAAATTCCTGCACAGTGCTGTAACAGAGTCATTGCAAGTTATCGCAAATGCTTGATTGCAGTTCTTGCTGCTAAGGGTGGCCAACCAGTTATTAGGTTTAGGGGGCAAACACTTTTTCACACAGGGCCATGTGGGTTTGGATTTTGTTTTCCCTTAATAATAAAAACCTTCCTTTAAAAACTGCATGTTGTGTTTACTTGTGTTATCTTTGACTAATATTTAAATTTGTTTGATGATCTGAAACATTAAAGTGTGACAAACGTACAAAACAATGAAAAATCAGGAAGGGGGGCCAACACTTTTTCACACAACTATAAGTAGCATTCTTTCCACTCACCCCAATGTAAGGGGGCATTCTTACCACTGGCCCTAAGTGTAAGGGGACGTTCTTCCCTTTGACCCACAATGTAAGGGGGCATTCTTCCCTGACCTCAATGTAAGGGGGCATTCTTCCTTTTGACCTCAATGTAAGGGGGCATTCTTCCCTCTGACCTCAATGTAAGGGGGCATTCTTCCCTCTGACCTCAATGTAAGGGGCATTCTTCCCTTTGACCTCCATGTAAGGGGGCATTCTTCCCTCTGACCTCAATGTAAGGGGGCATTTTTCCCTCTGACCTCAATGTAAGGGGCATTCTTCCCTTTGACCTCAATGTAAGGGGGCATTCTTCCCTCTGACCTCAATGTAAGGGGGCATTCTTCCCTCTGACCTCAATGTAAGGGGACACTATCATTTTCACGGTCTGCATTTCTTTTTTGGCCTGTATTACTATTTCTTTAATTCCATGATTATTGCTGAAAAGAATTTGTCCGTATAGAGGAGGGGATCCATTATGAGTGTCAATATGCTAATTATGCCACAATCCATATTACTTAGTTTGTTATTATCTCTGCAAATCTGTTCATGCCAATGCACCCTACACTGTATATATAATCATTTTCAACGGGGGTTCCCAGACAACAGAAAATGATTTCAGGGGTTCCTCTATGATAAGGTGGAGAATGTCTATTGTAGGGTCTAAGGCAGCGGTTCTCAACCTGTGGGTCGCGACCCCGTCGGGGGTCGAATGGGGAGAGAAACACTTTCTCCTGGAAAGGTTTAATCTGCTCGATCGAGCAGATGAAACCTTTCCCTGCGATCATTTTTTTTTAAATAGGTGAGAGTCCTTCTCAGCCCTCTCCTAGCGCAGCAGTGTCAGTTCTCCCGCCACGCCGCCAGATGTCGCTGCAGCAGCCGCGTCATCCCTAAATTTTACCGTTGGGGGGTCACCACAACTTGGCAAATGTTACCAAGGGGTCCCGGCCCTAGAAAGGTTGAGAACCACTGGCCTAACGTAAACTAATATTGTCATTAGTTGATAAAAGGCAGCTGAGCACATGGTTGGTAGGAGAAGCAGGAAACTCACTTTGCCATCGTCCGCCCTATAACAGCCCAGAGGAAGAGCTGTGTCACTGTCATTGCACATTACAGAGACATGAAGGGAGAAAACAATGAATAGGACTCTTACTTGGTTAAATTCTGCAGCAGCCAGGTGACAATGACAATCCACAAACCCCCTATACAGATCCATCCCGAGTCCCCCTGCAAGAACTTCCAGACATATGTCAACCCACAGCCCAGCTCGGACCCTCACTGCGCATGCGCCAGCCTTCATCTTTGTACACCCGCTTTTATCGACAAAGCTACAGGTACTCTACACATAAAATATTTCCATGTTATTCTACTAAAATATCCTCTAAAATTGTTTTTTAAATATATTTTAAAAGATATTACTATTTGGTGTAGTAAAATGGCGATTTGCCGCTTCCTGTTGCCAGCCAGTCGCTCGCTAGTTTAATTTTCCCCCCATTTGTTAATAAATTATTGTAAACATACTGAATGTAAGGATTAAATTAAATATTGTAAACATACTGAATGCAAGGATGAAAAACTAAACGTATCCAGAAGTTATGTCAACTATCATTTGAGAGTAGTAAGATGGCGGATGACTGACTTCCGGTGCGCATATGTACAATAAAGCAAAATGCTAAGTATGCTGTGCTATTTATTTAGAAATAATTATTAAGCACTAGCATATACGTACAGAGAGATCAAGAAGGAAAAATACCAAAGCGAGCCATCCCTCCAAACTACGCGGAACGAATGTGTTAGGCAGAGTTCCCGGAGGTGCCGTTTGGATACCGGACGTCCGGTGAGGGGCTGTCCGGTTTTTGAAAATGGCGGCAAATGTTGACAGTCTGCAGCGACAGAGTCTCCGTTTACAGAATGCGAAAGCGGACGCTGACAGTGGAGCGGCCGCGACCTCCTCAGGGGCCCGGGGCCCTGCAAAACCTAGGACTTCCGGTAATGCAAAACGACTCTCTGCAGAGAAGAGGAAGGTAGACACAGGAGGGCAGGAGAGATCCTTGGGCAAAAGAAGAAGCACAGATACCCCTCATAAGGAGAATGAAACAGACAAGAAGCCCAGTGACACAGCGCCCTCCACAGGAAGAAAGGAGAAGAGGGACTCCATAGAGAGTGCACACCCCATGGAGCCCAACGCTAAAACTGTTGACACCACCCATACACCTGGAGGGGAACACAGTAGAACTATACGACCAAGGAGAAACCGCAATAGCTCCAGTTTACATGTAGCGGACAGCACCAGAGAAGGATCCTCCACTGATAATACCTTCAGTAGAGATACCAGATCCAGCAAATCTAAAAACCATGAGGTGCCTGGAGCTTCTACTGCAGCCAGAGGACTGGGTGAAGGTGCGATCTCAAGCAAGGAGAAAAATGACAATGCACACCTCCCGGATCCCAACTTTGAAAAGGAACAAGGATCTGAGGGTCCTGGTGAGAACAGCAGCCACGATAGAAGCCTACCACCAAGGAGAAGCCATGATGGCTCCATCACTAATAGAAGGAACACCCCCAGAGGAGCTGCTGGAACGAATACACCGCTCCAGAGACAGACCAGATCCAGTGGAAGAAAAAACCTTGAGGGGCCTGGAGCCTCCACTGCCATCAGGGGTAAAGGTGCAAACTCAAACAAGAAGAAAAAGGAAAATATAAACCTTGCTGAGCCCAACTCTCAAAAAGAAGGTGGCGCTGAGGACCCTGGTGCAAGCAACAGTCATGATAGAAGCTTACATTCGAACAGAAGCCATGAGGGCTCCAGCTTTAATGTAGAGGACAGCTCCTCCACTCTAACACTCAACAGAAAGACCAGAACCAGCGGAGCCAAAGATCTTGAAGAACATGCTGTCGAGAGACGAGATGAAAGTGTAGTCTCAAGCAAGCGGAAGAATGAAAATCCAAAGCTTGCTGAGACCAGCTCTCAACAAGGGGAAGGATCTGAGGAGCCTGGTGGGAGCAACAGTCATATAATAAACTTACAACCAAGGAGAAACATTAATGGCACCAATATTAATGTAGAGGACAGCCCCAAAGGAGCTGGTTCATCCACAGGTGCCAATGCATCATTCACAGAGACCAGAGCCAGCAAAGCAAAGAATTACAAGGAGCCTGGAGCCTCTAAAGCAGTCAGAAGATTGGGTGAAAGTGCAGTTTCAAGAAAGGAGATGAAGGATAATGCGCATCCCACTGAGCCCAACTCTCAAGGAGAAAAAGGACCTGAGGGCCTCGGTGGGAGCAACAGCCACAGCAGAAGCTTACAGCAACTAAAAAGTCACGAGGGTGCCAGCATTAATGTAGAGGATCGCCCCAGAGGATCCAGTTCACCCACTAAAAGCCATGATTTGACCAGTGAGGAGGCCAGATCCAGCAAACAAAAAGACTGCAAGGAAGCTGGAGTTTCCACCTCTGCCAAAGGAAGGGATAGTAATGCACTTTTAAGCAAAGAGGAACAAGTAATAAGTGAGAGAGCGTTAGACATCTCTGGTGGGGTCAGAAGTCCAGGTAAAAACCTAAGACCAAGGAGAAGCCATGATGGCTCCGGCATTAGTAGTGGAAAAAGTGTGACAGTAAAAGGAAGTGATGGTAAGAAAGAGAAGAGGGGGGAAGCTGAACCCAGAATCCAGAGTGGGGAAGTGTCACAGGATCCTGGGGGAAGTATCAGTGCCAGGAAAAACCTACAGACAAATCTGAACATTGAGGACCCTGTTGATAGAAGGCAGCCTTCTAATGTGACCCCTGAGAGCAATACAGGAGAGGCTACCAGGGACTATAAGGTGCAGTGTTGTTCTAAGCAGTTGTTGCAGGAGGTTCTGGGAATGTGCACAGGAATCTGCAAAGAAATACTGGATAGTCAGCAGTATCTGAATGAGGAGCAGAAGCAGCAGCATCACAAGAACTTCACCTGGGTGAGACGTATTTTGCTATAGAACCTGAAATTGAGTTGGGTTGTCAGTGAGATTTGTGTGAAGCAAACCTGTAGTGAGAACAATGAGGCCACCACTGCTGACCACTTGTCCTGGAAATGCTATTTTTAGGAGGCCAGCAATGGCAGCCTACTAATTTATTTTCTCTAAACAGGGTTTTCTTAAAGGGTAAGTTCACATTCTCACAAAATGTGAAAAAATTTGACAGCGACCTGCTACCTCTCCCTCCCCCATTGCACATACCTAGGTGATCTCCCCACCAGCCGGTGTATAGTCTGTACACTTCACAGCCCCGTAGTATATAATGCCCGTAAATCATGAGTGCTCACGGGTCAGCATGGTCACATGACCACACTGACTAATGAGAAGTGCTTCTGAGATCCAGGAGCTGTGGTGGTAGGTTTCTTTTTTTTTTTTTGCATTTTATGAGAAAGTGAACTTGCCCTTTTAAAGCTGAACCCAAGGCAGATATAATAATACCACTCTATTATCATGAATATTAGAGGTGCAACAAAATGAAAATTTCAGAAACAAAACCGAAATAAAAAGAATTGTCAGGCCAAAACCGAAAATGTTGTTTTTTTTTTAAATATTTTATTTTTAGAAACTTTTTTTTACATTTTTTTTTTATATTTTTATTCATTTTTTTTATTAAATATTTTTATCTTTTACTTTACTTTTAGGGGCTTCTGGGAAATATTAGGGGTCTAAACAGACCCCTGATATTTCCCTTTTAAAATAGAAAAAGAGATTGAGGACACAAAGTCCTCAATCTCTTATTCTGTATCCCCTGCTGTTATCAATGAACAGGAACCCTCTATACTGAGGGTTCCTGTTCATTGATAACATGAGGACAGAGTATGTTTACTATAACCACAATTATGAATGAACAGGAGGTGATGTAGATCACTTCCCATTCATTCATAATTGAGGATATAGTAACCATACCATGTCCTCAATTATGTACAAACACTCAGCGATCACTGACAGTTATTCACAAAAGGGTGAAGAGTTTGGAGGAGGCAGGAGAAGTGAACAATCTAGGCCAAAATAGCTGATTTGGAAAAATTCTCCATTTCAGCTCACTTTCCGGTTCAGCGATGTTGTCCTAGATTTTCACTTCTCCTGCCTTCTCCAAACTCTTCACCCTTTTGTGAATAACCCTGTGAGTGTGTGTACCTCGCTCTCCTTTCTGACAAGCTGTCACAGGAGGCTGGGTGGGGCGGTGCAGGGAGGAGAGCTCAACCTCCTGTGACAGCGTGGGCTGTTTCTGCTCCCACACCGCTCTGTCGAACTGTGATAGGCGGCTGAGCGGTGTGGGAGGAGAGACAGCGGCCGCTCACAGCGCTCTCCTCCTGCAACGCTCGGCTGGCTGTCGCACTTCCTCTCCCCGCCAGGACACAGAGCAGCGCCCAGCGGGGAGGAAAGAAAGCAGGGATGCACTGATGTATCGGCACAAAAATTGCACTTTTCGGCATCTAGCCAAAAGTGCCATTTTCAGCGGATATGTTTTGGCAGCTGATATATCGGTGCATCCCTAATAAATATATTGATACGTGCAAGCAGTGTCAGTACCTGAATCTTACCTGGTATTAGCCTCTTGCAGTGTGAGAGAAAGTACAAGGAGCCATTCAGTTCATGTGCTGACAAGATGCATGCTGATAGGAGGATAAAGCACAGTGACAGAGAGGTGATCTCATCACTGTGCTGCTTCTCCTTTGACTCTCAAGTCAGAGGCTCAGACAGGTCCAGGACGACCTGGGCTTAGAGGAAATGGGCTGAATGATGCTAGACATCAGCCTAAGGACATCTAGTGGCAGAAAAATAATACTGTAGGGGAAATCCTCTGGATTGGAGATGAATATGGCAACTAAAGCTGTTTTGTTATTATTTCATTTAATGGGCTATTCAGTTTTTATCTTCTTCTGCTTTTACACCAGCCCTTCAGTGACACCAGCCCTCTGGAGCCAATGGTACTCTAGTACTTCATTATAGGAAAAGGTCACATGCTCAGTATTGCACACTGCTATAGGCTGTCACAAGCAAACTTCAACCAAACCTTTGCATTAAATTCAGGGGTTCTTGGTTTGCATATATTGCAGTATATGTTGATGTTGGCCAGCTTCGGTAAAGTGAGCTCCCGCTGCTGTGCAAAATGTCAAATACTTGCTCAAAGCATTCATTAGCTTGGATTTTAATGGCACAGGAGGTGCTAGAGGGGTGTGACTACATGCAGAATGCTCAAATTGAACCCCTTTAGAACCTCATATGTTATTTATGTATTAAAGTATGTATATGTGTGTATGT